GGGGTGGGCGCCCCCAGGCTCTGGGTCTGAGCGTGGTCACCCCCTCCCCTGCCATCGCAGCTTGTCTCTCAGGCTGGGAGGGGTGCTCAAACTAAGCTCTGTGGCCCAGACCCCTGGAGCCCCAAAGCAGTGGGTCTGGCATCCCTGGTGACACGTCGCCTGGGGTCCCCATTCACCCCGACTCCCACCCTTCCCCAGTCAGGCTCAGTACTGCACAGTGTAGGTCAAGGGGGGCGGTTCAGGTCTGGAAGACAGGCCTGGGTCCTCCTCCTATCCCCATTCCGGCCTCCCAGGGAGGACCGATTCCGCCCCACCCCCACCCCAGGGAACCTGTCCCACCAACTTGCCCCAGGCACACCGATGGCCTCGGATGCTGTGGTGGCGGCTGGTCGTTCGTGGGTCCTACAGACGCTGTGCCCTGTGCCCGCCCACCTGCTCACCCTCCTCCCTGCATCTGCCTCTGTTGGTGTGATTCTCTTAAGATGGCATTTAAAAAACTCTGAAATCTGATTATTTGCATTCGAGAGAAATGCCCAGAAACTTGGTGTAGTCAATCAATCTGTAAGGGCTGAAGATTCCGTGTTGGTGCAAGACAGGTGAAAAGTTTATCGAGCTGAGACAGTCACTAGAAGGGGGTTTTCTCTAGCCAGACCTTCCTTCTTCCATCATCGGCCACCCACCCCCTGGTAGGTCCTCTCCTCTCCCGGGGTCATTTACTTAGGACCCTTAGGACCAGGGGCCGTAGGGGCTCAGTCCTGGACCTGCTTCTCCTAACGGATCAACACGTGAGGACAAAGCATAGGAACATGGTGCTCAAGTCGCGTTTCAAAATATTAAACGCTTCAGATTAACACCCGAATGTTGGTTGCGTTGTCCCTGCTTCGCGGCGGCGATCCGGGAGTCTGGGGTGTTTTACCCCAGAGTGGCCGCACGAGGGCGCGCAGAGCAAACCTTCCTGGACCAGGCCCAGGACTCCACCCACCCGGAGTCTCCCAAGCCTAGGCAGGCTGCCCTCACCCCCATTCAAGCCTCGGATGGTGCGCGTGGCAAGGGGGTTGTTAAGGGGATAATTCTAGTCTCACCGCGGCCATCACCGTGGGAACATCAGAGATGGTGGGTCCTTACTCTCACGTTGTCCGTTCTATCCTACTACATTGGCAGGAGTTACAGGTCCAGAGAGGGGCAGGGCCTCCCAAGGACACACAGCAAAGGCTGGGTGTGGCCAGGACACAAAGCCCCTGCCTCCAGACCTGCCTGTCTCCTGTGGAGAAGTGCGCAGGATGGAGGGCAGGCAGGAGGGGGAGAAGCAAAATCAGAGGCCGGAGGCATAGATGGGGCCCTGGGCTGACTCTGTAGGCTCAGATACGGGCCTCTCTCGTCTTTAAAGACACCCCCTGGCCCCAGCCTGCTGCTCCACCGCCAGAGCTGTGAGCCTCAAAGGCCTTGAGCACCTCCTGAGAACCCTGTTAGGAGCAATCCCCAGGAGCCGTGAGGCCCTCGTCAGCTAGCACCTTGGACGGTAACCAACGCCCCAGGTGACAGCTAGCACCCTCGTTAACAGGTAGGTTAGGTGGAAAGGAGGTGGGGTGGCCTTTTGGGGGGTGGGGGGTGGAAATGGGAGCATGCCAGCACACACTTCCCTGACACAAGGGTGTCTGCGTGTGGAGACAGTACAGTTGCAGCCACAGGGGCCACTCTGGCATTGCTGTGTGACCCGAAGGCAAGCCCCTGTCCTTCGGGTTCAAGTATCTTCAGTGGAGAAGGGTATGGGGAGGGGTGGGGGGCTCCTTTCACAGAACTTAGCTGCCCGGGGCACCTGCCTAAAACCCTCCCAGAGGTCCCTGTTGTTACCAGGGACCCATCACCGGGCACCTATCCCTTAGCCTTGCACGACCTAGGTATTCCTAGCCTTGCACAACCTCTGCCAGCCTCTTTGTCCTGTCTTACGCCTCTTTATACCCACATCATCAGGTCTCCCAAACTGCAGCCACCGTGCCCAGTTCAGGCCACTGCTGTCCTGCTCTGACGTCTCCCCCCTCCCACCATCCTTCTCCAGGGGAACTTGCACACAGAGCGCCAGCCGTCCTGTGGCCAGAAGGTGGAGGCACTGAGCTTCAGACACAACGTGAATCTTTGCAATGCCGCTTCTCTGTCGGACTTGTTTCCCCTTTCTGGATCATCAGATTGTGAGTGCATCAGTCCGTGAATTTTGGATGGGATCTCATTCATCTTGATGATCCTGGAACCCAGCACTAACACTGAGTGGTAAATGTCTGGTATTAGTATTTATTAATGAATGTTTAGTTTATGAGTGAATGGGTGACAGAATGGTGAGAAGATGGGTGGGTAGATGAAGGACGGAGATGGTGGTAGAGAGAAGTGGGAAAGGTCAGCTGGTGTTTATGTGTATGGGTAACACGAGGATATAAGAGTGATGGATAAGTGCATGGCGGGACGATGGATGGGTGAATTATGAATGAGACAGCTGGCTGGCTGGTAGAGGACGAATAGCTGGATGGAGAGGCGAACTAATGAACTAATGGAGATGGATACAATGGCAGCATGTGTGTGTGTGACGTGGGTGAGTGTGTAGATAATGGTGGAGTAAGTGCTGGAGGCATAGTAGATGGAGATGCTAGGTGGTGGAGAGATAGAGATGCATTTATCTAATGGTAATCGGTTAGGTGATAAGCAGATAAATAGGCTGGAGATTGATAGGTGGAGGGTGGATGGATGTGGACACTGAATTGACACATTGATGGGCACCAAGAGAATGTACAGACAGAGGGTGAATTGTAGGTAATAGGGGTGGCTCGTGGATGCTTGGATGGCGGATAAATAGTGAGTGGATGGTTTGATGCATCTATCCATAGAGGAGGGGTGGATAAATGGCAGGTAAATGTGAATGGATGTGGGACCGATGGAGGCATCCTGACTGGTGTGGAGGAGGCTGAAAGGTGCACGAATGGAGAAACAGATGATAAATGAGCAGGTGCTAGGCCAATGGACAACGGTTTGTGAACTATGGAAGTGCAGATGGAAGGTGGGTGGTGGATAGATAATGAATGGTTGGATTCTGATGGAGACATGATGATGAGGTAATGAATGGATGATGATTAAATGACAGGCGGCTACATCTTGGAAAACGGATGAAGGAAAGGTGAACAGTGAAGGGGAAGATGTTGGAGAGATGGTGGATGGATTGTAGGTGGTGAGCGGGGAATGGTAAATGGAGGATTCAATGTAGAGATGGAGGAAGATGGACAGATGGCAAGTGGATGGTGATCGGACAATGAATGAAGATGCATATTGAGTGGATAGTGAATAATGGACGGGAGCTGATGTATAGACGATAAATGGATGGATCATAGATGCATTACAATGGCAGACAGACTATGGTGGATGAATGCTCGCTGCTGTCTCTCCACTCCATCTCCAGCACCTAGAACAATAGTTGGCACACAGAAGGCACTCAATAAATTGTTCTAGAATGGATGAATACGGATGGATGGTAGATGATAGTTTAATGGGTTTTATTTTTTTAATTTTTTTAATGTTTACTTATTTTTGAGAGAGAGAGAGAGAGCAGGAGAGGGCAGAGAGAGAGAGGGAGACACAGAATCCAAAGCAGGCTCCAGGCTCTGAGCTCTCGGCACAGAGCCTGATGTGGGGCTCAAACTCCCACACCGTGAGATCATGACCTGAACCAAAGTTGGATGCCTAACCGACCGAACCACCCAGGTGCCCCAAATGGGTTTTAGATGAATAGTGTGTTATGGCTGGACAATGAGTAGATGGATAGAGGATATTGTGAGGTGGACAATGAATGGACAGATATGCGGTGGATAGGGATAAGAGTTGGGTGGATGGTAGGTGGTTGGTGAGTGGGTGGATGGCATGTTGTAGTTCATAGAAATATGAATGGAGGGGTGATGGCAATTGATTGGTAACTGAATTGTAGATGGATTCGTGGCTGATTGGATAGATGGAGGCTAGTGGATGCATGGTGGATAAATCCAGATAAATGGGCAGTAGACAGATGATAGATTGAATAACGACAACCAGATATATGGCGGATGGGTGAATGAATGGTAGATGGCTAGTAGTTAAGTACTGATGGAAAGCTGTTAGAATGTGAATGATGGGTAGATAGGCAGTGGGTGAGTAGATGGTGAATTAATGTTGGACTGATGGGTATTTTCGTGGTGTGTTGATGCTTGGCACATGGTGGGTATGGGTGGAATGGATGGACGCATGGTTGATGCAAGGTGGTTGGATAGTGGGTGGTGATTGGGGTTGGATGGCTAATGATGTGGGATGGTGGATTGGTTTGACCACTGGGGTTGAATGGTTAATGAATGTGGGATGGTGGTTTGGCCGTGACTGGATGGTAGAAAATACATGAATAGGTGGTGGGTGGTAGATGATGGCTGGGTAAGAGGGTGCGGAATGGTGGGCCGTGGCTGCTGGCTAGGGGTTGGATGTCAGAGGCTGGGTGTCAGATGGTGGAAGGGTGGGGCATCGTGTGGCTTAGAAGTTTTGCACCTTGGCCCCAGGTATCAGGTCTGCACTCCAGGCTGAATGAAACTGATTGTCCCAGGCCAGTTTTGCTCCCTTTTGGGAACAGCCTGGGGGATGACGGTGACAGGGAAGTGGTGCTGGGACATACCCCTCCCCCCACCACGTTGGCCATCCTACCTGGGGGTTTTCCTTCTCTTAGCTCCTCCTTCAAACTGGAGGGTATCCTCTTTCCATGTATCTGGCCCCACCGATTTCTGACCCCCCCCCCCAAATTCCTGAACCTCCAACCTGAGGCTTGGGGTCTCAAGCGGCCGGGCCAGCCGGGATCAGGCTGTCGGGGGCACGGTTTTGTCAAAGGGAGGGTGAGGCCGAGGTGCTACCTGGGAGCTGGGGCCGGGCCTGGCGGAAGCGCCCGGGGGCCTGAGTGTGAATGGGGGGCCGGGCGAGTGCGTGTGGGCGGAGAGCGCGGGGGAGGGCGGGCGAAGCGGGGCTGGCAGCTCGGAGCCGAGAGTGGCAACCCGGCGCGAGCATCCAGCGCGGGAGGGTGAGTGTGAGTGAGGCCCAGGGGGCGCCCCCTCCCCACCCTTGTCGGGGCCCTCGCCCCGCGGTGCGCCCTGGCTGCCGGGCTTGGCGAGGCTGGGAGAGGAGAGAGGGGGAGTTGGGGGGGGGGTCCGAAGCTCCGGGAAAGAGGAGGCAGTGGGGGCCGTGGTCAGCCCCTGGCTGCTGGGGCCGGGCTTTGGGCGACAGCAGTGCCCCTGGGGGGCTGTGCACGGCCTGACCCGGCCTTCCGCACCTGGGAGCCTGCGGAGGTGTGGGTGGTGGGGCCCCCGATGGTCCAGTGCTGCCGCTGGCACTGGCCCCGGGCAGCGGGAGGCTGACCCCAGGGACTTGCTCTCTGCCTGCCTGGCCCCTTGCTCGGCCGACGTGACCGCTCTCTCATGTGTCTCTCTCTGTCCTTCCGTCTGTCTGCGTCTCTCTCTCCCTCCGTCTGTACCCTCCCTCCGGGTCTGTTTGCTTCTTCTGTCCCCAGTCCTGTCATCTCTGCTTTGTCTCTGTGGCCAGCTGTTTTTCTCGCCTTCCCTCTGAGTCTCTGTGCCTCTCTGCGGCCAGTCTCTTGGTGTCCCTCCTGGCTGCCCTGGGCGCTAGCTGAGCTTCTGAGTCCTGCGGTGGGGCTTGTGGAGGATCTGACCCCGGAGCATGGGGCTCTGTGAGGGAGGGTAGGGGCTGCCTCCCCTGGCTCTGGGATTGGGTGGAGGCATATGCCCCCCACCCCCAGCCTTCCCTGGGTCTCCGCGGGACCCGAACTGAACCGATGTTCGGTGAAGGAAACCCCATATCCCAGAACAGCAGCCCCCGCCCCCCGCCCTGCGAGCCCACAGGACCCCTCCCCCACTACCAGCAAGGTGTCACAAGCGATCCATCCTACTGGTTACTGCTGTCCCTCTGCCCACTTCCCTCCCAGTGCCCCTGCCCCTTGCCTGCGGCCCCCTCCCAGCCTGCCCTGAAGTTCGATGGCGCCTGCCGGACCCCACCCCCTCTTCTGCCTCTGGCCAGGTGCAGGTGGAGGGGAGGGTCTGAGGCTGGGAGCAGCGTGAGCCAGGTTCAAGTCAGCCCGAGGCGAAGGTGGCCAGGTCTTCTCGGAGAGCTGACACCCCACACACACCCAGGGCCGGGCCCCCAACACCCGCAGCTGAAGGGAAACCGACGTCCTGCCTGCACTTGGCCCTGCGTGCTCAGGCCAGTCAGTATAAGGGCAAGGGAGCCCTCCCCGCAGCAAGAGCTCGCAGAGGAGGGGGTCCCCCCATCTCTGTGCCCTTCCTTGCCGTTCCCTGCCTCAGAACATCTCTCCGCTGGCCTGGCTGCCCACTGCTCATCCCCCAGGCCTCAGATCAGCTGGCCCTCTTCGAGGAAGCCTTCATGGGTCTTGGGGCTGAGTCAGCCTCTCCTGCCCTGCCCCTGCCCCTCCGCAACCCCGGGCACATCGTGTGGTGCCTGTCCAGTGCCCCCCGATGGCGGGCGGGCGTGGGCAGAGAGCAGTGGTGACAGAGGGCCAGGGGGCAGTGGGCAGTGGGTCCAGGGTGGGCTAGCTGTGGACTGGAGCGGTCTGAAGCTTCCAGAGGAGAGTGGGCTCCAGCACGTGGCCTCGTCTCTCCCTGTCTTCATGCAGACCGGCAGCAGCAACGGCATGAGTGCCCCCCGGCCCGCTGTGCAGGAGCTCAGCCCAGCTGAGGAGGCTGGAGACCCAGCAGGGAAGGTATGTACTTGGGGCCCTGGGGTCTGCTAGCCCTGCGGGACAGGAGGAAGCCAGCCTCAAGCCCTGGCCCGCGATTTGGGGCATGCCTCAGTTTACCCGTCGGGGTGGGAGAAGTGGTTGCTCTTCTCTAGAAGTCTGGTGCATAGAGCAATGGAAGGCCGAGCCTGCCTGGCTTACTCAGCACCACTTCCCAACCAGGGTTTGCTCCGCAAAGCAGTTTGCTCTCCGCTGGGTGAGGCAATGCCAGAGTCCCCCACCCTCGGCTCTAGCTTTCGGGGCTGTGTTGATAGAGCTAAAAAGTGAAGTCCCTCCACAGGCAGTGCAGTCTTGACGTTCCGAGTTCTAGAGTTGGGACTCTGTCATCGTCGCCACTGCCGGCGGGCAGCGGGGCTGGAGAGGGGAACCCGCCCGGGGTCACCCAGGGGGCCAGCCTCCACGGCACGGCAGATGGACAAGGGGGACACCAGGCCTTTGAACTCCACGTGCTGCTGGCTTGGACCTCCCCCATCCCGGTGGCACACTCTGGGCCGAGGAGGGCCCCTGGTTGGGGGTCACAAGGCCTTTGCAGAGGAGGACAGGAAGCGGGGTGGCAGGTGCGGTGGGGAGGGATTCCAGGAGAAGGGAGCCCCTGACCCGGCAGTGTGAACAGGAGCAGCCAGGATGGCCCAGCCGCCGGGGCTTGGACGGGTCCCTGCTGCGCTGCCCCTCTGATTCCACAGATGTCCCGGTCAACAAGGTGCTTGGTGCGGTCCCGGTGCGGTACTTGGTGAAAATGCTGATTCCTGGCCCCCCCCCCATTCAGAGAGTCTGGGCGGGGGCCCAGGAACGTGCGTTCAAACACGCGCAGATGGTTGTGCTGTGGCGGTTCAGGGCCGGTTAGCAAAGTCCTCGGGCTGTGTGTCTGCCTTTCCTCAAGGCACTCGTGCCACTGGGGGAAGGAAGACAGGAACCAAGCGACTCTCCTTCTATGTAGAAGGGTGGGGGGTGGGGAGGTCCAGGGAGGGAGACCTGCCGGAGCAGAGGCGTGGACGTGGGCAGGGCGGGCGTCAGTGCTGCTGTGGCCTTAGGGCCAGAGGGCTGGGCGGTAGCACTCGCAGCTGGCCCCCCCCCCCCATCTCAGAAGGCCTTGAATGGGAGGCGGAGACGCTGAGGGCGCCAGGAGGGCATGGGGAGGCAACCCCCGCACACTCTTGTGGGCACTGAACAATGAGCCCAGAGCGAGCCCAGAGAGCCGCTGAGGTTGCCATGGTAACAGCTTCCCAGCTCCTCTGAGCTGGGGAGGGACCAAGGGCCCAGCAGGGAAGACCCCAGGAAGGGGCTGCGAGGATACAGGGGGCAGTTGGGGATGCACAGAAGCCCTGGGCCCACTCACCATGTGGCCTTGGCCTCACTGGCCTCAGGCTCTTGCCTGTGAAATGGGCCTGAGGGCTGAGCCCCGGTGGGTCCTTTGGGGCCCCGGGGAGAGCTGCTGCCCCAGGTGCTGAGTGGTGCTTCAGCCGCAGTGGTGGGATGGGGGAGAGGCCCGCACCTGCACGACCACACACACACACACACACACACACGCGCGCGCGTGTGCACGCTCACACACACACCCTCCTTCCTGCCCTGCAGCCTGGGTCGGCAGGGCCCCCGATCCTCCCAGTGGACACAGTGCAGGACAGGTGTGGGAGGGAGCAGGGAGCCCAGGGCCCGGCATCGTCCTGAGCCCTGCCCACCCCCCCTGCAGGCTGCGGTAGGTGCCCGGGAGAAGGGCCCTCGGCTGGGCCAGCGACTGCCCTCGATCGTAGTGGAGTCCAGCGAGGTGGGTTCTGTGGAGAGTGGGGAGCTGCGTTGGCCCCCCGAGGGCGCCTTGAGGGGGTCAGCCCAGAGCCAGGTTGCTTCTGGTGAGTGAGGGGCTGCCCACGGGGGTCGGAAGCCGGGCTCCCCCTGCCCGCTCATGCAAACGGGGCCCTCCACCCCTCCAGCCTGTGCACACCATCACCCCCATCTGCCCGTCCTTGGAACTCTGCTTGGGCGCCTGGAAGCCTCCTGGCCGTGACCCTCTCTTTGTCCACGTGCCCCCTCCTACCTGCCCTTAAGGACTCTATCGACTGTGGTGGCCCCAGGCCCAGCCCATCAGAGGGGCCCGTGAAGCGTCTGTTGGACACAGGACCACATGCTTCCCCCTCAGTTCCAATTCCTTCCCCTCTCCTGATTCATTGCCTTTGGGGCACGTGTGCGTTCAAAGGGCCAGCCCAGGTGCCCGTGAGATGGGGCGGTGGGCCAGCCCGGCGGCAGGCCCCTGCACTGGCCGTAGGTGCCTGGTTAAAGGCCAAGGGACTGCCAGAGCCAAGGAAGCTCCTGGGGGGAGGGCGTGTGGGTAGGAGAGGGGGATTCCGTGTTCCGGATGCCAGGGGTGAGGCTGGGCAGTGGGGGCCTTCTGCCGAGGGCACATGAGGGGTGAGCTGTGCCCTGGGAAGTTTTGTCCCCTGGGGAGTTTCCCCCCTGATGAGGAAACGAATTCAGCCTCACTGGGGCTGCCTGGCACCCCCTCCTCACATGTCAGCCCCCCAGCGGCTTGGGCCCAGAAGGGGCCCGTCCACCCCATACCCCCCACCTTTCCCCCAAAGCCTCCTCCGCCTCTGCCAGGTTGCACCCAGGGCTGAGAGCAGCACCAGGGACCACGCCCTGGGTAACCGCTGGAACTTGGGCTGTGGGGAGGTCTCCGGGTGGGTAGAGGTGCCGGGGGAGGGAGTGCCCCTGTTCCCAGAGCGTGGCCTTGCCTGCCCCGCCCAGGTGCAGCCCCCTCCTCCCCGTTCCCTTGCCAGCCTGTCCGAAAGGCAGCCCCACCAACAGAGGGGCCTTTGTGTTTCTGCAGCCCCCTCACCAAGTCAGCCGGGAGCACCAGGGAAGGTTCCGGATGATGCTGGCAGTGAGCGCGCCAGCTGCCAGGCCCCGGCCCCCCAGTGAGAGGACTGGGACAGGCATGGCCGGATTCTGCTGTGCGAGGGCCCTGCAAACCCCGCCTCCCACCCCTGCTCCTGACAGCTGAGCGGCCTCAGCCCCAGGGTGGCCGGGCTGATGCTTGGAGCAGGGAGAGCTGAGCCGCTGCCTCCTGCCTCAGAGGGTCTGGCCGGGACCACGGGCCTGCCCTCTCCCATCCACACCCCGGGGTCCAGATCACACCCTCCTTGTTCCGTGGTTTGAAGCAGAAATAAAGGCTCTTCCTGGTGGTCGGCGGGCACACTTGCTGGGGACTCGAGGGGGGGGACAATTTTGGTTTTTCCATGGCCTTCCAGACAAGGGCCTAGCCTTGGAGCCCACGCTGACCAGGCCAGAGTGCCTGGGTGTTGTACACGGGGTGGGGGCCGGGGTGGGGCAGGGGCTGTCCAGGGGCTGTGGGGTTTGCTCCTCTGGAACCCCTGCCAAGGGCCCTGAGCTCTGCTCCGCTCTGCCTCAGCCAGGGCTGCCCAGGGCAGGACTGGCTTCCCCCCAAGTGGCCTCCTCACCTCTCCCAGGGGTCTCCGGCTCTGCCTGGACCCCGAGGGCAAGATTCCTTCCTCCTCACTGGGTACACAGGGCACAGAAATGGACCGTGGGGTGGGCTGTCCTATTCCAGGCTGGATCTTATTAACGCTTTGCAAAAGTCCCACTTTACAGATGAAGAAACGAAGTGTGAAGTGAGGTGCCCAGCCACGATGGGATCCCTGGGGCTGGGAGGCACCAGAGCCCTTGTGGGAGACGGGGTGGGAGAGGCACCTGTTCCTGCCCACGTGAGGGTCCTGTTCCTCCATGGGGTCCAGCAACACTGTTTCTTGGCTCTGCCCCACTGCACAAGGGGAGCGCTACGGGCTGGTTGGGGTGGGCATGGTGGGCGGGGGGGACAGAAACCCGACCAGTGCCTGGGCCCAGGTTGCCTCCTGCCCTCCCCTCCTCCCATTCTGGTCCCTTGCCCTTGGCTAGCCTGCCCCAGAGCCGAGGAAGCCCGGGGCCTGGCAGGAGGCAGCCGTGGATAAATGTTAGCTTAACAAAGTCCTCAGGACCAGGCAGGGTCGGACAAGACCCCGGTGAGCCTGGAGGGGCAGGAGGGAGACACAGTCCCCTCTGTTCTTTCTGGAGGCCTTGAGGCTAACCTCAAGGATGAATAAGGCACTTTCTCCAGCACGCCTTCCCTCTAAAAATAACCCGCCCCCCAAACGCAGGAGAGGTCGGAGGCGGAGGTGTGGAAATTTGCCTGGCAGTCTGCTTTAATTTTAACCCTGTGGCCCCATGGGCCACGTCCACGGTCCCAGTTGTCTCCCTGGTCTCTAGCTTAGGCAAGGCGTTGGACTGTCCTTCCAAGTCCTTCCTGTCCTCCTCCGGTGCTTTTGTGGTTCCCCGAGGGGATGGGAAGGGGGCAGACGTTTCCCAGGAAGCCCCGCCAGGACTTGCTGACGCATACGATGTGGGGCCAGGGACTCGAGCCAACTGGTGATTTCCGTGTTCCTGGTGCGGAATGTGGGGTGGGCACCGGTGTCATTTAGGAGATTTCATCCTGGCCCCTCCCAGGCACAGTGTTCCCCCCACTTAAACACGACTCTCCCAAGGTCTCACAGCTGACAAATAGCTGAGCTGGGACAGAATCCAGATCCACCCGAGACCCAGGCCTGAGTGGTACCCACAATGCCACCGTGGAGCCCGCCAGCTAACAGGGCAGGTCTTGAGTGGAGGTGACCCATAATTGGAGGTCCCAGGACCCTGTCGTGCCCAGTGAGCTGGGGGAACATCTGCTCGCCCCAAAGAGTGTGGGCCCCCACCCTGCAGGACCCAGTTCCCTGGAGTCGGGCCCCAGCCTGCTCCCTTTCGGTCGGAGCTGGTGCCCTCGGTAATGGTAGGGGGCGGTGCCAGAAGAGGATGCCCCACACATCCTGAGCCCCCCTGAGCCCCCGCCACCAGCACTCAGGTGTGGGCGGCCTGGGGAAAGCGTTTTGGGAATCATCCTGTGGCTCCCTCTGGCATGGGCTGGGGTCACCGCCTAGTGCCTTTCGGAGATGGGCCACCTACACTTTGCAATATTCACCTCGAGATAGAGGCACCGTCCCCTGTCCAGGCCCAAAGCCAGTTAGGGGCAGTGGGTGGAGCTCAGGCTTCCTGCTCTCCTATTGGTCTGTGCCTTGGTCCCAGCCGGCCGCAGTGTGGGTGAAGTTCGCCGCCTCTGGCATCTACATTTGGGGTGTGGCAGCCTGGCGTCCCCGGAACCCCTAGGACAGGCAGGCATCTGGCGTTCAGAGTCCTTCTCCCTGCCCTTCCCCACCTGACAGCCAGGTCCTCTGCAGAAGCGGACCCATTTAATACCAACAACATCTCCATTTTATGGAGGAGTAAACTGAGGCTCAGAGTCAGAAGTGCCTATCCCAAGGTTGTGCGGCCCAGTGCGGGGGAGCTGAACTTGTACTCTACTTGGGGTCCCCAGCTGTGCCTCCCCTTCCCAACTGCCCCCTCCGATCTGCCTTCTCCTGACCCAGCCTGCCCAGCCCTGTGCCCCGGCCCCTCTGAGACAAGGCTGGGACTTTTCCAAAGGGATTTTACTGAGAAATTTGGGGGAAAACAACATGGAAATGGGATAAAAGAAACATCACAGTCTTATGCTGAAAGGTGGGCACAGGCTAGAGTGTGGAGTGGATCTGGGAGTTGGGGGAGGTCCAGGAGTGACTCCCCAGGCCCTGGGCACCACCAGCTTTTCAGGGACCTAACTCTTGAAAGGAGGTGACCCATAATTGAAGGTCCCAGGACCCTGACGTGCCCTGTGAACTGGAGACCAGGAAGGTCAGACAGAGGAGCCCCCGGTGTCTGTCCACCAGGGTCTGGCCTCTGTCCTGCCAGCTGCATGGCCACGAGCAGGGTCCTAGGCCTCTCTGAGCCTGTGTTCAAGTGCAATGAGGTGGAGAATATTTACTCCACAGGGGCTCCAGGAATCCCACTGAAGAACCCCGGGCAGTCATCTTGGGGTGTCCCCTCTGACTCCTGAATTGTGCCGCTCCCGGCCCCCCCCAATCTCTTATTCTGACTCTCATCCTGACATGGGACAGGACCAGCCTGAGCCAGGAGGAAAGGCCCACCCAGCCACCGGGGCATGAGCTGGGACCCTTATGACCGACCCTATTTCACAGTGGCACCCAGGGATCAGGGGGCTAATGACTCAAGTGGTAAGCCAGGGGGCTTCTTGGAGGAGGTGCTGGCATCTCTGGGTCCAACTTAGCCTGTCTACAGAGGGCTATGGGGTGCTGCCGTCTCTCAGGTGCCTTCCAATCAGTTATGGGCTGGATTTTGTCCTCAAAAAGTTCTTATGTTGAAGTCATAGCCCCCAGTACCTCAGAAGGTGGCTATATTTGGAGATACGGTCTTTAAAGAGGTGATTAAGGGGGCGCCTGGGTGGCTCAGTCAGTTAAGCGTTGTACTGTGGCTCAGGTCATGATCTTGGGACTCATGAGTTCGAGTCCCGCATCAGACTCTGTGCTGACAGCTAGGGGGAGCCTGGAGCCTGCTTGGGATTCTGTGTCTCCCTCTCTCTCTCTCTCTCTCTGCCCCAGCCCTGCCGACCTCTGGGTCTTGGGTTTCCAGCCTCCGGATCCTTGAGGAAGTCACTGTGTTGTTTAAGCCTCGGCCAGCCACACTGTGCTGTGGCAGTGCCCGGACAACAACACACAAGCTTGTCCCTGCGTCCTCAGCACCCCGCTCGGAGCTCCTGCCCTGCTTGGCCTCATGCCGCGGTGGCTTCAGCCTGGCTGGGACAGGCCTGGATCTGTCCTCCCCGGATTTTCCCCAAGTTTCTTCCTAGGATGCTTCCCCCAAGAAGATGTGCAGCCTCTTCTGGGAAGTCTCGGCGACCCTCTCCGCAAGCCGTCTCCAGCCTGAGCCACTGTGGAGGAGGAGGGCCCGGCTACACCTTTGCCCAGGACGCCCGCCATCCCTCCTCACCTCTGAGTGTAATCCTTCCTTCCTTCAGCCCCCATCCCCTCCGGCTCCTGAAGCCTTTCGGAATGGCTGTGGCTTAGGACATTCCTTTGCTGTCACTGTGACCTCCCCTCCCCCTCCCTGTGCCCCACGGCCCACGTTTCTGCACGCCTGGCTCTCAGGATGAGCCTGGCACACGGGCCTGGCGCCAACATCTCTGTCCTGGAGGGAGGGGTTCTTTGGGGCTTTGGTGCCGGGGGGCTGGATGTCCCCGTCCCCCCACCCCCACCCTGCACGCCCTGTCCCTGCACCTCTGGTCTCGTGTGAGCACAGCAGGGGACGGCTGGTCCATTCCCCCACCTACCTGCCCCTCCCCCCCTGCTGTGGAGCTATGGAGCGCTGCCCCTCCCCTCCCGGACTCTCAGGACTCAGCCCGAGCCCGAGCCACGAGCTGCCAGGGATCAAAGGTGGCAGTGACAGTCTCTGGAATGGGGGGAGAGTAAGAGCCTTTCTGAAAGTGAAAGTCTGGGGTCAGGGTGGAGGGTGGGGCCGGGGGTGGGGCTGGTGGGCCCAGGGCAGCGTGGAACAGGCTGGGAAGTCCCAGCTGCTGGTCATTCGCTCTGGCTGACCCAGGGGCCCCACCACAGAGGCCCAGCTCCGAGGGCCCGGCTTCCCCTGGCGGCCCCGACCTGCCTGGGGCCCGATCTACTCGCTCAGCAGGTACGTTCGAGTGCGGGTGGGCACTGGGGTGCTGTGGACAGTGGGCGGGAATTCAAAGGGCCCAGGGTAATTCCAGTTCTGCCAGTGGCTTTCCGGGCCAAGGGCCTCAGCTCGGAGCCCAGGCCGGACTGCCAGCTCCAATCACAGCGTTCGTACACAAACATGCAGAAAGCAGACAGATGCGGACATCAAGACACGCACGCGGGCACAGACACACGGACGCGGACTCATGGAGAGAGCGGCTTGCACACATACAGGGAAACACACTCAGGTCAACGCACAAAGCCCATACGCACCCCAGTGCGGCAACATACCCCCAGGCTACACTCTCACATTAGATTGCTTACCTTTTTCCCCTGGGTACCGGCCCTGGCCTGGTGGGCTCCTGGTCAAGCGGCAGATGCCCCAGACCGTGCAACTGTCCCTCAGTCAGGGGAGAAGGTACACCCAGTGCTGGGGCCAAGCCCGGAGAGAGAGGAGCTGACGATGGTCAGGAAAGGCTGCTTGGTACTGAGGCTCGAAGGCGGCTCGAGAAGGTGGGGGTGAGGTCACTGCTGGCAGAAGGAACGGCCTGTACAAAGGTATGGAGGCGAGGCGAGGCGGTTGGGCGGGTGGTGAGCGAGGGGGGAAGCAGCTGAGGGGTGGGTTAGGAAGGGCCTCGAGTGCCCAGCTAAGGAGGAGTCTGCTTGTCCTGAGGGCGATGGCACCCCAGGAGGGCTATGCTTTGTCGCTACTGACAAGAGGAAACTTTTTAGTGCCTTTTTCTAGTAGGCTTTCGTAATACACAGGAAAGCCCTCGTAAGCAGGTCTCATATCGCCTATGAATAATGACAAATTTCCCAGGTCCTTCCCGATATTCAAACCTCATTTATTCTCTTGCCTTATTGCCTTGACTAATCCTTCCTGGCAAATGTCAAATAGAATGACTGAACAGACACCAGGCCTGAGCCCCAGGTGCGGCCACCAGTGCCTCTGAACATTCAGGGCAATGGGGCCAGAGGGCCAGAGAGAGAAAGAGCCAGAGAGAGTCGTCACGGGAATGGGGAGGCAGGTACGGACGGGGCAGGGGCCGAGGTAGAGTCAGCAGGACATCCAGTCCCGCAGGTACCCGTGTGGTGAGGGGCGACCCTGATCCTGACGGTCACTCCTCCTTCAGGCTGGCTCTGGGATGACGGGGAGGAGCAGATGGGCAGAGGCTCCCAGGCCGGTAAGGAAGTGTCCCCATCCCCACAGGGACAGTGGTGCAGCCTGGCCCAAGGACACCTTGGAGGTGGGGGCACCCATGCCCCTGGGCCCCGAAATACAGGTCAGTTTTGGGGGAGCAGAGACAGGGAGGCTGGGAGCAGAAGCAGCCTGCGAGGAAGCTGGAAAGCTGGACATTCTAGGGACAGGGAGGTGCCCAGGAGGCTGGGTGAGCGCAGGTCAAGGAGGTGAGGCTGGAGAAAGTTCTGTCCCAGACTGGAAGGCTTCCAGTGCGGGGCTATGGGGAGCCATGGAAGGATTTAAAGCAAGGGGGTGACCTGGTTGGCTTGTGCTGTGGGAAAGTCAGTAAGAGCCTTTCTGAAAGTGAAAGTCTGGGAAATGGCTTGGGAAACTGCGGGAGCAGGGTCAAGGGGGCGGCGAGACCGTCCGGGGGCCTCGGTGGGCCTTCAGTACGGGTCTAGTTCTGGACGAGGGTGGTTGAGCGGGCTGGGGGGACCCGTCTGCTTGTGTGGCCTCAATAAGACTGCCAGCTGCCAGCTGCCCTTCCTTCCCCCAGAATCTGCCTCTAGACCCCAGTCCTGGCATCTGAGAGCCGCCCCCACCGCGGGCCCTCGGCCGGGAGAAATGGTTCCTGGGGTGGCACCTGGCTTCCCGGGGCTGGAAGATGCGGGAGCCCAGCCTCTGCTCCCCTTTCCACACAGGCCTGGGTTGGCTGAGGCTCCCCGTGGGGGGCTGTGTGACTAGAGGCAAGGCCCTGCCCCTTTCTGAGCCTGTTTTCTCATCTATGAAATGGAATGACACCCCACAACTTTGTTGTTACAGGCATCTGATGTATGCCAGGCCGTGGGCTGGGCACACAGTAGGTGCTTACTAAGTGTGAGCTCTACTCAACCAAGGCAGGGCCCACTTGTCCCGTCCCCACGTCCCCCTGGTGATAGAGCTTGAACTGCATCTGGGCACAGCACAGGCCCAGATGATTCTCATCATCACTCAGAGCCTGCTGGATGCTGAGGGGCACCAGGGAGAGGGGAGTCGGGGAGGGGCAGGGTGCAAAGAGCTCTTGCGACAATGTTCTGTGTGTGCATGGGTCAGTCTGAGTCAGGGCAGGAGAGGTACCAGGCGAGGACAAAGACCTGTGGCCTGGGCAGGGCAGATAAGGCCTCATCAATCATCCGGGCCTGCCCCTCTCTCGGTGAGGCCTCTGTCTAGCTGTCACATGGCATCTGGGAAGAGGAAGGTAGGCCTCAGCCGACCCCTCAAATGGCTGACCCCTGGACAGACATCGCTGGAGGGCATAGAGGGGTGGATGAGGGTCTGGGCCCTGCCTATCCCAAATAGGCAGGCAAAATGGGGGCCTGGGGAGAGGGATTCCACCTGATGTCACCTAAGGGTCAGGTGCCGGCTCCAGCCTGACCTTTGTCCCAGGGATGGGGGCAGCCTGGAGAGGTCTCGGGGTTCTGGCCTCTGGTTGGTCAGTGACTTCAGTAGGTCCAGCCCTCCTCTTGGCTGCTCTCTCCAAGGCTTAAGTAAGATCTTGCTGATCTAACACAGCACCCCCCCACCCCCACACAACACCCTCACGATGGGGTGGGTGGGAGGTCCCAGCAGGCTATGAAATCTCTTTCCTTTCTCCCACCCCAGCTTAACCTAAAGCCAGAAAATCAAACACCACTGGGCTGTGCTTAAAAGGAGAGTGGGTGCAGCCTGGGGAGGGCCTGGAGCCCAGGGTGGGACCTAGGCAGCCCCTGCTTTGCACCTCCATGCCCTAGGGACCCCCGCCCCACCCCTTACAGGGGAGTGGCCGGAGCGCACGAGGGGTGGGTGGTGGGGAGATGCACCGGTGAGGAAGAGCCTGGGGGAGCCCCAGCCCCTGGTTAAATATAGACCTGGGGCCCCTCCCACCACCCCCGCCCACAGGGCTGCAAGGCTGGGATAAGCAGATAAGCCCCTGGGGGCAGCCATGGGTGGCCACAGACCTCAAGCCTGACCCTGCCTCCCTCCAGGTCTAAACAGAAGGAGCCTCTTCCAGGGAGGGATCCCTGAGCCTCCCTCTGAGCAGAAATAGTTGGACCTGATGGGCTGAATGGGGGTGAGCTGAGGGCTTGGCGAGGGTTGGGGGGGGGCAGTGAATGCTAGGTGATGGGGAGATTGGGCAGTTAGGCCTCAGGACCTAAAGTCCAGGAAATCCTGGATGTGGTTGCTGGGCCCAGCCCTGGGGACCGCGGGCTGCCGTCTCGGCTGTGCCCCCAGAATCTGCCTGTTTAACCCCCCTCTCCAACTCTGATGATGGCCTGGCAGAGCCAGAGAGGGTGGGCACCTGGGGGTACCCTTCGGAAGATGGTATCAGGGAAGTTTTCCCGAAGGAAGTACCTGTCTGTCTACATCTCAGCGCCAGCTGCGGTGTGGCACGGAGAGAGCTCCGGCCCTGAGAGCTGCCCGGTGACAGCTTGGGGGTCATTTCTGGGAGGAGCTTCTCTGACCAAGCCAAGCCACTGGGCCCCTCCAGGTCTCACAGGGCTCTCACGAGGTTTCTGTGCCCATTCCCCCGGGCGGGCCCCCCCCCCCCCCCCCCAACCCCAGGCCTCCTGAGACTCCTTTTCATCCCCAGCTTTCCTGCTGCCAAGATGTCGTTATCACCGACAGTGACCTCCTGGCCAGAACCGCACGGCCCTGAGGAGTCTGATAAGCTGCAGACCCCAGAGCAGGACACTCAGCAGGCAAGCAGTGGGGACGTGCCCAGCACCCACCGTGAGGACACTTGGCCCGGCCTGGGCACCCTTCGGCGGGCCTTCTCCAAGGCAAGCCGGCGGGCCTTGGGCCAGGCCCCCGGGGAGGACACTGGCCTGCTCCGACGCAGCTCCCACTTCCTGCGATCCTTACGGCGCCCCCGGGATGATGGCCCGGCTGCTGCACCAGGGGGGGCCCGCGGCCCAGAGGGGCCCTCAGGCGTCACGGATGGTGGCAGCAGGCCGTCAACCACTGGGGTGGGGCCTGAGGAACCAGGACAGGAGGAAGGTGAGAGCTTCACAAAGGATACCAAGCATGGGAGGAAACTGAGGCCAAAGAGGGAGCGGCACAGTCCAGGCTTCCCGACAGCTCCCCCAAACACCCCCATGCACAACTGCATTTTACATTCTCCCAGCCTTTCAAGCAGGGGAGCATCCACTGGGCAGCTCAGAGAGACCTGAGTGAGCTAAGTGAGGCTCAGAGAGGTTAGTGATCTGCCTCACATCCCACGGCCAGGAAGTGGATACATGGGAGTTGAACCCACATCTGTAGGACTCCAGAACCCTCACCTCTCCACAGACTTCCACAGCCTGGCCCCTGGCCAAATTAGAGTGATGGATAAGGCACTGGTCCTCTCAGAGCACAGGGCCGCAGGGGGTGCGTGGCAGTAATGGGCCTGGAGGGGAGCTCAGGAGGGCTGCGGGCGCAGGATGCATTGGCGCTGGGCTCCAGAGGGGGGGCTGCAGGTGGAAGTAGAGGGCTGCTAGGGGCTGGGGGCTGGCCCAGAGCAGGGAACAGCAAGAAGCGTGGGAGCTGGGCACAGGGACAGGACGCGCCCAGGCTGAGCTCTGACCCCAACAGACCTGCAGTCAAGACAGCAACATGAGGCCACCAGGCCCAGCTCGGCAGAGCTGGGAGCAGGGGAGAAGGTAGGGACCGAAAGCGGGGAGAGCAGGGCCTGATCCCAACTGCTGCTTTCAGCCAGGTTCGGGGCTTGGGGTTACCCCTCTTCCAGAGTGATTCCGAGGGACGATTCCCCGCAGGCGGGGGCCGTTGCTCCTGGAGCAGACCTTAGGGGAGCGCTGGGGCCAGGCGGCCCAGCTCCCGGTGGGCGAGAACGGGCCCCCCAGGCCTTGGTTGGGGGCCGAGGTTCCGGCGCGGCACCCCCCACGGCCCTCTCCCTGCCTGTCCTTGCCAAAGGCAAATCTGTGGCGGACCTCATCACGGAGCGGCAGCTGCTGGCGGCCTTCGAGCAGCTGCGGCAGCTGGAGACGCGGCTCCTGGCGCAGAAAGCCTCGGGCACCTTCGAGCAGGACCCCACCGGCTTCGCGCGGCGCGCCATGGACGTGTGCCTGCTCTACGACGGGCTGGCGGCGGAGATCCGCGCCATCGTGCGCGAGACGCTGGGCCCGGGCGGCGTGGACGCGGCCGCGCTCGCCGAGCTGGCCCGCGTGGTGCGCGCCGAGGAGGAGGCCCACCCGGTGCCCCCCGCCGACGGCGACTTCCTGCTCACGCCGCGCCGCTGGCGGCGGCACTGGGAGGACGCGGTGACGCGGAGCGCGCAGGAGCGCGTGCGGCAGGCGGGCGCTGGGGACGCCGCGGGGGCGGCCGAGGGCGCGTCGGGCCTGGCCCGGCTTCTGGCCGAGCTCGGCGGCTCGGTTCGCCGCGACCTGCGCCAGGTGCGGCTGCAGGTGCAGCCCGCCTACTCGGCCGCCGGCCTCCCGGCGTGGGAGGCCTACCTGCGCGCCTTCCACGGCGCGGTGGCCCAGCGCCTCCAGGAGCTCGCGCGCGACGCCCGGGGCTGCGAGCAGCTCTACGTCCTGCTGGACTGGACCGCCAATGTCTACGGCAGGTGAGGCCCCAGCCGGAGCGCCGAGCCGGGCGAGGGGAGGCCCGGTATCGCCCACCTGGCCCTGGCCACCCGGAGGCCTTTGGGCGCCCGCCCCGAGGAGCCCTGGGCACCTTTTCTCTCTTTCTTCCCGAGAGAGGGCTGGTGGGTGGGCGGCAGAGATCCCGGGGACTTTGACGTTCTTTTCTTTCCCCTCGTCTGGGCCGCGGTACTCTGCCGCCGGGGTGTTCCTACGTGCTACCCAGGCACCCGGTCCCGCGCGCGGGACAGCATCTGAGGGGAGGTTGCTTCCCTGACAGGGAGCCCAGATGGAGGCCTCTGCTAGTCCCCAGGATGCCGTTGAGCGTTTAGAAAAGGGCCCCCCACCCAGGCAGGACACAACCGTGGCTCACAGATGCCCGGCGCGGGTTGGACGTCACCCGCACTCTTCCCCTTGGATGGGCACCTGGGTACGGGGCCCGGCGCGCTGACCGCTCCCAGCTCCAGCCCCGCGCCGCGGGACGGGGTGGGTTTCCTTCGCTGCTGAGCCCTCCTCAGCTCCGAAGGCCAGAGAGCGGGTGGGAGGAGGGTGCCTAAGCTCCGGGGCTCATTAATTTGCTGTGTGGCCTCGGACAGCTACCTGGGCCTCCCCGGCGCGGCTTGGATAGTGGCAGGTCCCTGAGCTGTGTGGTGCTTGGGTGCCTAGGTTTTGGCCAGGGGGAAATTGGGGCAGCCGCTAGTGCATCAGAGCCGGGCCCAGACCTTCAGCCCCTACCCTGCCTTCCAGTCCTGACTTCCTCGGTGCCCCGGACCTGACTCTGTCCACGGAGCCACTGCCCCCACTCCTGGCACCCAGTGTGTGGGCGCGCCTGGAGAGCGACTACACCAGCTTCCTAGAGGTGAGGCCCTCGCGGGGCAGGGCCTGAGGGGCGCCATCCAGGCTGAATGTGGCTGCCTCGCTGTGGGGAAGTGTGGAGCCCAGAATCACCCTGGGTGTGTGGCCTCGCTCAGGGGAGAGCCACTCCTCACCCTGTGGCCTTCAGCATGGGCCTGGGCCCCGGCAGGGTGGGTCAGTTTCTCCCAGGGCCCAGGACAGGGCTCCGAAGGTAGGGGGACCCACGCCTCCCTCTTGGGAGGGGCTCACTGTGCCCCTGTCCCTACCTCGCACAGACCAAGATCACAAGCTGCTTCGACAGCATCCTGCAGCTGGAACAGAGCCGCTGGGTGGCCGCTGAGGCCCCCGATGTGCTCCAGGGCCTCTACCACACGCCTCTGTCCATCGACATCCACATGGTGAGTCTTGAGAGGGGGGATGTATGTTTGGGCCTCAGGTGGTGTCTGTCCCCTTCCAAGTGGGGACACCCAGAGCTATACAATCCAGTCCCGACCTCCCTTCCCCAGTAGGCGAGAGCCTGAGGCCCCACCTGGGTGGAATCAGGGACCCTGGGTCGCCAGCCAGGCTGGGAGTGCCAGGGCACAGCGCCCAGCTTAGCAAGTGGCCCGTGGATGTGGGGGTGCCGGGAGGCTGCTGGAAGCTAAAGCCGAGACCACTAGAGCGGGGCAGGGTGGAGACGTCATTGGGCCACAGGTGAGGGACAGGGGGCATCAGGTGGGATCTGGGCTTCGACGTGGGTTCAGCACGTGGCATCTCTTACAGCTCGTGGCTGAGCATGTGAAGGCGGCTGGTGCCATCTCTGCAGAACTGGAGGCCACCACGCTGCGCATCTGCGCGCGGGCACTCGGCCTCTTTCTGCCCAGGTGCAGGCATATCCTTGGCCCAGGGTGGGGTGGGTGGAGGGACCAGGGTAAGGATGGTGGTCGTCCCTGGGGAAGGGCCATCCTGTTTGCTCAGAGTCCCAGATCCAGGGACAGATGAGAGAGAGGAGCCTTCTTATAAGGCCCCGGGTCTGGGTAGGGACCTGAGGGGGAGGGCAGACCCCAGGTCATCGCGCCACGGGTAAGGGTCCCTAAGGCTTTTGCGTACTTCGCCCCCAGGTTTGAAAAGGCTTTGCTACAGTCGGAGGCGGTGAGCGAACCTCATCTGGGCGCCAGCATCAACGCCTGCGAGGAGCTCAGGTGGGTCTCGACCCTGCTCCTCCGCAGGGAGGTGCCTGGCGCGGCCAGCAGGGGGCGCGCGAGCTCGGGGAACCGGGAAGCCGTAGGCTCCCGTGGCGGCCGGCGCGCATTGAACAGTCTGGACCATGCGCCCCGGCGTTGGAGGGACTTCCCGGAAAGCCTCCCAGGAGGGCGCCCGCCTCGCAGCTCCCGCCCCCGCTGGAAGGTCCTCCCTCCTCCCCGCAGGGGTGAGGCCCTGGAAGGGATGCAGGGAGTTTCAACGCTGAGCAGAGGCTAACAAATTCCAGCCACCCCAGTTATCGCCTGTTGTCTGCCCAGTGTGTCCCAACCCCCCAACCCCACCCCCACCCCCACGCCACCCTGGGCTCCTTTCTTTCCTCCCTTCACCCAAGTTGGCCGGCTTCCTTTTTAAAGACACTCCCTCCTCTTCCCCACTACCCTGGGTCCCTCTGCCCCCAGAAGGCAGATGCCTCCCCTTTCTGCAGGCAGTGGCTGTCCCCCTCCTGGGCCCCCGGTGTACCCCACATTATGGATGCGCCAGCTGCAGCAGGTACGGCCATGGACTTTGAGCCGCGCAGTCTGGGTTCTGATCCCAGCTCTGCCACCTGCTCCCTGTGTGCCTAGAGATAAGTCACTTCCCCCTTCTGTGCCTCCTTTTGTCATCTGTCAGATGGAGCCGTGGGGCTCCACGCCCTAGAGGGACTCATTTCGTATTCACTTTTTGTGAGCGCTGGAGATCCAGGCACTGAGCTGGAGCTTTACCCGCCTGATGTATTTCGTCCCGAGGGCAGTGTCCCCATGTACTGGGACAAGTGGAGGCTCAGAAAAGGAGTGCCACCGGCCCACCATCATGCACCGTCCAGTATGTGCTGGACTTGGGACCTGAACCACACTTGTCTGAATCCAAGCACGACCATGACGAGGACCACTTGTCTAACACTCTCTCAACCCTAATCGATGCCAGGCTGGTCCGTCCCCTTCAGCCCCTTGGTAGGCAGCCTCTGACCCAGCCCCTGATGGAACTTTTTAGCCTGCCTTTCTGTGTCCCTGTTCTGAGGACTGGGCATAGCCTGGCCCTCAGTCTCCTTGAAAGTGTGTGACGGGCTGGGTTTGAGGTGGGGGACATTGTCACTTTCAGAGAGGCAGTTATGAGGCTCAGGGGAGGGCCTCTGTGCCAGTCATGGCCAGGCTGCCCTGTCTCATCACCAAGACGGTTGGAGGTTTGACCCAGAGACACCATAGGGGCGTTCCGCGATGCAGTGGGGACACCACCATCACCCTGCTGACCTACCCTCTGGGATCAGCTCCTGGGGCTTTGGAGCCATCTTCTCACCCGACTGTGCCTTCGGGGCTACTACACTGTACAGCCCCAGGGGCTGCCCTTCACATTATAGTCTAAGTGAATGGCACCTGGCCTCCGCGGCTGTCTACCGGAGCTTGTTCCACAGCTTGCTCCTCCTTGCCCACTCCATCTCCTGTCCTGGCCCCTCCCAGGACCAGTCTTCTGGCCAGGTTCCCAGGAACCTTTGAAGAGCTGGAGAAACCTCTAGTGGCTGCCGTCTGTGTCTTCCAAAAGCGGCTGCTCCAAGGCTTGCAGTATGATGTGCAAGTGAGTGGGACAGGCCCTTCCCTCCCCACTTTCCACACCCAGTGGCTGCTTCCTGTGCCCTGGAGCCTGGGGCCCCCAAGTCCCAGCATTCCTTCACCTCAGGGGCAGTTTCGGGGGTGGTGCGTTGGGGGGTGGGCAAGGGACCCAGATAAATTCCTAGTTGAGCAGGGAGGTCAGGAAACGCCTACCTACTTGAGACTCTCAGAGAGGGTGTGTTCAAGGAACCAGACCCCTCACCCCGCCCCTCAAGGCCTCCCCAGGCTCCCCTAAGCAGGGCCTGCCTAGAGGCTCAAACTCAAACCCTGTCCCCTGGAGCTCAGGGCTTGGAGGAGGCATCCTTGCAAGAGGCTTAATGACATTCATGGCTGAGAGAGACGTTACTCGGGTGACATTAGAAGGGGGTCAGTCCCCCCAAAGTTTCTTCCTGGCGACAGATTGTCCATTGGCCTGAAACACCCCTGTTAGGAACCACGCACTGGCTCTGAGGAGAGGGTCTAGGGGATGAGGAGGAGACGGTTTGAGGGGGGTTAGAAGACTCCTGTCCCCCTCTGCGCCCAGCCGCTTTTCAGGGTCCTGTGTACCAAGGCCTGGCTGACACACGACGTGCTGCAGCCCCTCATGGACAAAGTGGTGGCCTTCGCCCATCACCTGGAGCACGTGGCCCCACTGCGGGCACAGGTATTTCGGGACAGGGCTCTGGTGGGGCCGTGCCCTGGGCTGGGGCCTGTGACTCTGGCTCTGACCCTGGCCCTGATCCCCCGACGGCCCAGGAGACTCTGCAGGAGGCACACCGATACGTGGTCCGTGAATACCTGGCACAGGTGCTGAGGCCTCGTGAGCGGTTCCGCGGTGTCGATCGCGTGACTGGCTCCCAGAAGATGGGCCTCGACGCCCAGGCCATTGGCAACACCTTCCAGGGCTTGGTAGGAGCATTGACTGACTGCCCCCAGTGCTCGCCTCCTCCTAGGGCCTCTGGCGTGAGGAGCCTCCCCTGGCACCCCCTATTCTCATTTCCGGGAGGGGGGGCTCCGCAAGAGCCCCCTGGGGCGGGCTTTGGCAGAGGTGGTTGTCCCCACTCTGCAGCAACCGGGGAGAGGGTTTGGGAGCGCTGGCACAGCGGGGGTGGGGCCCGGTGGGATCATTTCCATATATTTGCATACGGCCCTTGCGGAGAGAGCAGCCAAGGGGCGGGGCCTCCGGGAGGCCCCTCCAGCATCCCCGACCCAGCCTTTGGAGCCTGGGCACCTGTTCCTTACAACGGCGCGGATGCGCTGTAGGATTCCCGGCAGGACTTCCGGGCCTGGGTCTCGGTTTACCCACCTGCGCAGAGACCGGAAGACCTCTCTGAAAGTGCTGCGGCTCCGTCCACAGCGCCAAGACCCGAGTCCCCTGACGCCGCCCGTGCAGTCACAGCGGGTGTCGGTGCATTAGTGTTGGGGCTGCAGGCAGGGGTGGCAAGGGGGCTCCCGCGGGAGGCGGCCCGTGCCCTAGGAGGCTCCCTGTCCCCGCAGGGCTCAGAGGCCACGTGGCTGGGCCAGGCTATCCCATGCGTCGCTGACATTCTCGGCGAGACTTACAAGGACGACATCGGGCGGCACCTGGAGACACTCATCGGGAGCTACCCAGACATCAGGTCCGTTCCCCACCTGCTCCCTCACTGGGCGCCGCCGGCCCCGGGGTCGGGGGACCGGGGCCTTCAGAAGGGTCCCTGTGGCTCTGGCGGGGGGGGGGGGGGGGGGGGGGGGACCCGAGGGGGGGGCAGCGCGTCCCGCACGGAGCGGGGCCGGCCCCGGGCGCGGGCTCGTGCGCAGGTGCGTGAGGTCCCGGGCGTGCGGGGTGGCCCTTGACCTTCAGGCGCGGGGCGGGGGCGGGGCGTGAGAGCCCGGGCGGCCCCTCCTTCTACCGCTGTTCTCGGATTTGGCGTTCGGTGCCTGCGGTCCCGAGGCCTCTAGAGTGTGAGGGGGTCGGGGCCCCTCCTCATGCGTCCGAGGATGGGGACAAGTACCCGTCCCGGGTACTTGAAGGGGAGACGCCCCCTCTACGAGAAAGCCCTATTGGCAGCCCGGGACTCCTGAGACCTGGCCAAGAGGAAAGAGGCTTTGATTCCGGGGTTTGGAGGGGAGGGGGGGGGGGGGGGGATGGTGAGTCATCGAACCCGTGGAAACTCCAGCCCGAATCTCTCCATAGCCTTGGAGATTCCGGGATGGGGAGGTCGCAGAGAGCCTGGGACAAAGCCCTTTTCCCCAGCTCGGACTGTCTCCGCCTTTGGCCCGGAGTGACTACTTCCCCCACAGTGCTGCGGGGTTGGGGGGGGGGGGGGGGGGGGGGGGGGGGGGGGGGGGGG